CTTATAGACTGTGACTCTGTGTCTTCCTCTTAGCTGTGAGACCACAGAACAGGTCGGTATGACACAGGCAGTGACATATCACTGATTTTTAATCATCTCAACTTGAAGGTGCTTTACAGAAAGATGGAAAGCTTCCTTAAAAACATCTTCCTCCACTAGCTGTGTGTCAGTACATTTCACTGACAGTAGTAGTATTACAAATGTCTTTTATACTCACAACATACTCTCTACAATTCTTGAAGCACCTCACAGGACCACACACTTGGAGATGCCTAGAGATGTTGTCTTGGTCAACTTTGTTCCTAGGCACCACTACTCTGGGAGTGTTGCTGTAACAGACATCACTAAACAACAATCTGCATCTGAAAAGCTGTAAGTGTCCCGGCTAATCAAAGGATAAAGATAGTCACTTTTGTAGAAGCTGCTGTAGGAATGATTTGAGACCACTGGCCAGATATCCAGGGAAGACCAGAAACTCCCACTCATGTCTGGGTACTTTCACTTCTCCCCAAAATGGCACCTCTGTCAGACCACCTTCTACCAGAGAGGATAAAACCTGCTAAGCCTCCAGAATTGCTCCTGGAAGCCCAAAGACTAATTTGAATTTTCCAGATTTAGGCTACTACTTTGGAACAGAAAAGGAAAATAGATTCGCAAGCATGAATCACTATGGAAAGATGCACCATCAAACTTTAAGAAGAGCCCTTCCTGATATCTTAATTTTTTTTATGTACTTAATCCCTCACATCAAGGACAGAGAAATAACAGCAAAAGATAGAGATGGCTTTCTTAGTCTGTTAGGGTTGGGGACCTCCAGGATTCAGATGGACCAAAAAGCTGGAACCAAAGCTCATGTAGAAGAATAACTTTATTCCTCCATTCCTGAAACCTGAAATGCATAGATCAGCTATTTTAATGTTTGACCCATCTGAAATGTAGCAAAACTGGCAAATCTGTGTTTAGTTTCTTGGTTAATATTTCAAACTTTAGAACATCTTTTTATATTTTAACCCTTATGTAAAAATTGTCTGAACCCAAACTGACTAATCTATAGGATGTATATTAAACCAAAAGTAATACACACACACACACACACACACACACACACACACACACACACACACAATGGGATTTTTTTTTTATTTTTATATGTCACAAATACCTCCATGAATGTATTTTTTTAATGTAATTTTTTAAAGTTAGGCACACTTACTGATAAGCACCTGTATGCTTAGGGCTACCTATAAAATATCCTTTTCCTGCTTAGCAGTGTACTCCCAAAATTCTGATTGCAGATCTTTAGCTTATCAAGACTGATATTTCCACTGTAAAATATGTAGAATTTAGGTTTCTGAAAATTATCTTAAAATCATTACAATACCAATAAATATATCATAAAATATATTTTAAAGAAATATAGTTGTATCACTTTCAGTATTTTGAGAGTCTACAGAATTTTCTTTGCCAATATTTTGAAGAGATGCTTTAATAAACAAGTCATTTGTAGTTTGTTCATTACTTGCTTACTAGTTGTTTTTCTAAATATTTTTAAGCAATGTTTTTGGGACATAGTCTACATCTAATTTTTCTGAAAAGTCATTTTTATTTATTTATATTTTTAATTGACACACACATGATATTTTGATATATGTATACATTGTGGAGTGACTAAATCCAGCTATTTAAAATGTGTACTACCTCACATTCTTATTTTTTGCATTTGTTTTTTTGTGGCGAAATGGAAGGCTATTTTTGTAGGTCTTTTGTTTATATTTTATTGAAATGATCACTAATGTTGATTTCGAGAAATCTGAATTACAGAGATTATATATCCTATGTAAGAAGTGGAGGACAGGGGTGTCATTTTTGAGTGGCTCGCCCTCCCGAGTGACAGTAGCTATGATTAAATAAACGCCTCTACCTAGCAAAATTATCAAAAGTGGTGACCACATTAACTTTGGTAGAGGACAGTTCCTGAAAGATCTTTACTTTCTAAAGAAATACATATTTATGATCTCTGAAATTTAAAAATGTTTAAAACTAGTAGGACCAAAGATAAGTGGACAGCTAAATGTATGTTTTCAGGTGAGATGACAATTACTCCTAGTTCTCCAGCTCATAAACTGAAATTTCTGGAGGGTATACTATGGTCCTGTTAAATAAATCTCTTGCTTATTCTGTAATTAGCGGTGACTATAACAACTTTTATTTCTCCATTTGACACTTGTGTGACTCTAGTCACTGTTTTGGCTCATCATTAATCTCTTTAGAAACCTTGCTGCTGCCACAAAAGTCATGCATATAAATTCCCCACTATGCCTCTGCAAATTAAACAAAATGTGCTTTAAGCTTGCCTCAACATCAAAGGCTCTGTGATTTATTTCCGCACTGTTCGTAAGGCTATGCCTCAACATGATGCAGCTACACACCATGGCACAATGTTCTGGGCGGGAGGAAATTCACTTAGAGAGAGGGGACCTAATCCAGCACAAGACACATGGTAGTCATTCTGTAAATCTGTGTTTTTGAATGCGATCTACACGGAGAGATATACTCCACTGTCTTTCTCCTCTCTAGAAAGGATAGCTTTTCACGCTTCTCAAGGGACATATCCAAACAAGTTCAGGTTGACTGTCAGCAGGTCAGGCTTCCATCTAGCTATGTCTTTATCACCCGTATGCATTCCTAAGTAGGGAAAAATCTTCTAGGATCACAGAGTTCCGTTAAAAGACCCAGTGAATTACAGTGTGCCACAAGCATATTTGTCTACAAAATTCATTACCAGGTAAAAACAGCCAAATCAGAGATCACCAACCCCCGGGTGAATGGGTTTACCCTCTGCTGAGACTCAGAAGTAATTAGAGCCCTGCAACTAGACATGGGCTCATGAGGACAAGGCGTGAGTGAAACCAAACTGTTTCTAGGGAAGGAAATATTTTCATTGACATTTTTGAATTACTACTGCACTACGAGCTCTAGGAAGATGATGATAATTTTTCATGGGCCACTAGCTTTTGTGAGTTTCTGGTTGGGTTGGTTTTAAGTTATCAGAGCAATAGAACTTCCCCAACAAATCAAAGTACTACCTATTGGCAGGGTCAGTGCTACTCAAAACATGGCTTGAGGATTGACACCATCTACCTCACCTGGAATTGTGTTAAAAATGCTGATTCTCAGATCCTGCCCCAGATTTACTGAATTAGAATCTCCGGGGGTGGGGCCCAGCAGTGAGTTTAAACATCCTTCCAGGTGATTCTGATGCATGCAAAAGTCTAAGAAGCATTAACCTGTTCTTTCTCATTTTCTCCCTTAGTGCCAAGACACTCAATTTGGATGAAGGGTGGCAATGTTCCCCTTTTCTGCCTCCCTTGCAAGAAAGGGAGGTCAATGATATACATGTGAAAGCAAGTAGGAAGGGCTTCCAGGAGAACAGTTGCAAGAGAGATTAATTCAGCTGGGAGGTACAAACCCTTTGCTCTTTGCTCTCCCCTCTACTCCTGCCTGAATGATGGATATGAGGACTGGCACTTCAACACCCATCTCAGCCCAGAAGGCAGCTTTGGTGATCGAAGCTATGCACTAAAGATCAAAGTGTCTAAAGGCAGGAGTGCATTCACAGTGATAAGATAAAAAAAACAGCCACACCAGCCATGACTTTCTTTCCTTCCTCCAGATTCCCTTCCTATGAGAGAGAAATAAACCTTTAACTTATGATAAACTTATTATAAATTGGCTTATTTGCATTTCCAGTTATAGGCCACCCTATATTCTCACTAAATCCCAAATATTGCCTCAGTGTTAGCTCAGAAGCCTCCCAGAAAAGCCAGACATGGAGGTAGAAGCGCTTTTCCTAGGGTTGCTGTGAGTCTTGCCCCACTAACCAATGTCTTGCTTGCATTTCTGGTCCCTATCCCTTCGTCCATGTAAAACTTTCCATAAAATATGTTAGGTAAAAAATTATTAAGTCTGTAGAAAATGAGTGAGTGTAGCCGGGCTCGGTGGCTCAGCCTGTAATTCCGCGCCTTTGGGAGGCTGAGGTGAGTGGATTGCCTGAGCCCGCGGGTTCGAGACCCGCCTGGGCAGTGAGACCTCATCTCTACAATAAATCAAAAAATCAGCCGGGTGTGGTAGCGCATGCCTGTAATTCTGGCTACTCGGAAGGCTGAGGATGAAGGATCGCCAGAGCCCAGCAGGTCGAGGCTGCGGTGGCCGGGAGCGGCCACTGCACTCCAGTCTGGGCGACCCAGTGAGACTCCAACTCAAAAAAAAAAAAAAAGAAAATGAGTGAGTGCACCTTTTTTTTTTTAAACTTAGTTATAAAGGTAAGAAATCAGCACTCTCCTTGAGGGGAAAAAAAAAGGTGGAGGGAGCAACCACATTCAGAAATTCACAGCTAACAGGCAAAGTAGTAAGTGCATCTTACTGGCTATAAGATGCACTTTGTGTGTGGTCAATTTAATATCCATCTTGCCTATTCACTGTAAGTGGAATGAGGCAGGAGGAAGGACCTATGACCAGCTTTTCCACCACTCTATCTTCAGGACTTAGCAAAGAGACTGGTCCATGGTAGGAGCTCAATAAATATTTGCTGGGTGAATGAATAAATGGATGGATGGGTAAACATAAACATCAAAATGTTTATATTGATCCTTCCACTCATTCTAGATAAAACAATCAAGTGAGTAGACAATGAATGACCCTGCCAGCAAAGGGAGGGTGCTTGTCACATTGTTCCATTCCGCAAAGACTCAGTGGAAGCCTCTGAAACAGGGTATCAGCAGCTGCAGGAGTAGTTCAGAATTGTAGAGAGAGCATCATGGTGGGCCTTGTAACCCACTTCTAGGACTACATGTAATCTTGGTCACATCATTGAACCCCTCAAGGTCCCATTCGCAAAATGAAAAGTTCAAGGAAATGATTCTCATTGCTTCTCCCAGCTATTATGAATGTAGAAGAGACCTCAGGTCCTGAAAATAAGCTCTAACCCCAGTTCTCCAAAGTTTGTTTGCAGTTATTTTTATTATTAGTTTTAATGAACTCACACAAGATAGCAGGGAACCATGGGTTTGGGGTTTTTCATTACATGACCTCAGGCTAATGTGCTACAAATGTCACAAATAGGCACACCTCTTTCACTAATTATTTTTAATAAAACAAAAGATCAAAAATCAGCATCAAGAGATGACACAATAAAGTTGAGACGACGGAAAGCAACTACTCCTAAACTGGGCATCATAAAATACATCATCATGAACTGTGAACAGATTTGCCCAGCAAAGGAAAGCTTCATCCTTTCTGCCCTCCATGGCTGACATCAGGAGTTTCTCAGGGTAGAACATGAAATGAAAAAGAAGCACATGGCCAGGAATGCTGTACATTATCCCTCAATGACCTGCCACAAAGACTATTTTTAAAGATGCATTTATCTCAGCAGGAATGACAGCATTTAAGAAGTGGCCAGTTACCTGTGCCAGACAATCCTTCACAGGAAATGTCTGCAGAGCTTGGCTGCATCCTTTACAAAAACCTAAGTGATGGATGAGATGGGAATTGCCCTTGGTTGGTTAGGTGGTTGGTTTAAGGAGCCATAAAGGTAATGTGGAAGTTAGAACTTGGAAACCAAATGGAGTTAGCCCCCAAGTTATTGCAGCCACCCCGTCACTCAAGAATTAATCAGATTTTAAATTTACAATATCCATCATAACTAGAAATGCAGGCTCTGTCTTGTAAATTTCTTAAGTATTAGCTTCTCATTGAATTGTATTATCTCATTGAAGAATTAGTTATAAGAGGGTTATAGGAGATGTGGTAATCCCATATTTACACAGTTCTCTTTTATGAACCTAGCCACTGTATTTCATATGGAAAGTATATTACAGCTATATTACATCGGGCCTTCCATTATTGACATAGCATTATGTTAGGTAACTCCTATAAAACACTTACAGAAACATGAATACACAGTAGTATGTTTATTTATATTTATATATATATATATATATATACTTGGGGGAATCAGGGTGTCAAATCAGAGTTGATACATCTTCCTTGTACAGAAAAAAAAGGGGGGGAGGAGGTACGAATAAAGAGGTAGGGGTCAACAGAAGCAGAGTCAATATTTTAACCATTAAAACTGACCTCAAGTTGAGGATGGAAAAGTGTCATAAAATTTACCCCTGCTGACCTGTTAACAGAAAATTACAGAAAGATGACCTGAAGCTACCACAGGACCTCAGCTTTTCTACAAAATTGAGAAAACACTCCATGCAGCCATTATTCTGTTTTATATTTTTAGAGATCTTGATAGGAAAAGTGTGGCACTTTACAGCCATTAAGAGCGCTGTAAATCAGCTCAAAGAACTATTTCTTGCAGATTGATATTCATCTGGCCTGGGCAAGTTCAAGTTCACCTCCAAAGGCAGGAGTGCATAGCTGACTGTCGCTTCCCTTGCTAGGGAGTTCTCACGGATAGCAAGTTGCTCCTCTTCCGTTTAGCCAAGACCATTGCCAGAGCAGTTTGTTCTGGGTTCCTCACCCTACCCATACTCCTGTCGATGTTCCAAAATGGATTTCAGGAATGAGTTCTCTTAGAGCACTGAAGAAAAACATATTTGACACCCACTATGCTCCCTAATTCCCATTCCAATGACTTTTGTTTCAAAAGCCCTGAGCACATAGCATAGATTTTGCACATCCTAACCAATGTGGATCTCGTTTTACTGCTAAAACAAACAGAAAGTATTTACACTTGGGAGAACGGTGGTTACACTTCCCCATACCTCCCTCAGTCCCCATGTTGTTTGATTCTTGCCTACAAAGATAGTGCCAGAGGCCACTGAACACATCTCATGTTGTTTCTATGTGAGCAGCTAAGTCAAATGCCAGTATTGAAGACAGTAAGCTTGCATTTCACAAGTCATCTGTGTAAGAGAGAAAAGTAACTTCTCACTCTTCCCACACGAAGAAAAGTGCCTGGATTACATGAACTGTACAATATGAGTTTGTTAAGTGCATCCTCTTGACAGCAAGTTAAATGGCTATAAGAAATTGTGCTTGCATTTCATTTGATCAGACCTAATTTCCTGGGACCTCAAACACCAAGTTCTCCCAAAATATGGCTAAAATGCTGGAAAATTTGCAAATACCATTTGTGAATATTAAACCCCAAATAAAGTTTTATAAAATCTCATTTACAGAATACTTATTCCATTACATTTCTTTGAATAGAACAAAACAGAAATAAATATCATTCTTAAATATATCACCTAGTCATCATGAAAAGCTTATGATACTCGGGGGGGGAAGTAGATCTCTATAGATGTAGCTCACATATTTGGTTTTCTATATTAGAGTATCATCAATGCAACAGTGCCAATCTTCAGGTGGAAAATATGATAGGTGATACTTTTAAATGCAAAAATATACGTATTCTGTACTTTAAGTCCAATCTTAATATAATGACTCTAACTGCCAGCCAAGTTGATTTGTTAAGTCACTGGGCTCTGAGGAGTTTTGTAAATAAGCTTGTGTGCTTCTTACCCTCAAATTCCTTTTGAAATGCAAATAGGTCTTTGCACTTCACTTAGGGAAATGCACACTCCTTGCTTAGTATGTGAACTCACTGGAAGGTCCTCCCTTTCCCTGGGTCTAGGAAGACCTGATGCCAAACATGCAGCTCTGTGATTCTAAGGGTGGTTCGGAACACCCCCAAATCAGTCACCTGAGCTACAAACTTACTGACAGCTGAAGTGGGTCCTAAACTAGGGGTCACAAAAATCAACTTCTCCTCCTGTGCTACCCACGGTGTCCTCTGGACAGTGATAGGCAGGAAGTGTGGATGCATGTAAGTGTCCTGGAAAAGATTCTTTCAACTCTTCTTCCCCCATAGGTTGTTCACATCAGGACCTGTTCTCGAGTCTCTGGCAGTCGAAGAGCAATCAGGCCACCCCCAACCAGAGAAGCAGCAGCCAGAAGGATGGGGACCACTTTGGTTATCCCCACAAAAGAAGCAAAGATGGTGTTTCCCAAGATAGCGCCAAATTTGCATAATCCATTGAGGATGCCAAAAGCTGTTGCCCTGTAAAAGAAGAGGAAAGTATATAATTCTGAATTTCTGGACCTCATTAGTATGACTGGGCTCTTTTTCTTGTTGCAGGGGGAGGAGGTGGAGAGAATTTTTTCCTAAATATTAAAGTAACACATTCTTAGTCATATTTGGAAATACAGAATAATATAAAGATACAGGGATGTCTCTATTCTCTTTACTGAAAGGCAATCATCTCTATTAACATTTTGAAATATTTCTTTCAAGTTTTTTCTTTTTCCTTTCAAATATATCTCTTTAAAAAATTTTTACAGGTAGTATATGGTTATTGTGAAAATCCTGAAAGAATGAAGTATGCAAAGCAAAACACATTTCCTCTTAATAACATTCTCAACCCTCTTGTGGCAGAGACTGCCAGCTGTCTCCAAATGTCATTTCTCTAAATGTTAAGGCTAGATTTCCCAGACTCCTTTGCTACTGAGTGTGGCCACATGACTTAGTTTTGGCTGAGATATAAGTACAAGTGGCAGGTTCCAAGAAACTTCTTGAAGAAAGGATATAAGTGGGTTGGGCGCAGTGGCTCAGCCTGTAATGCCAACACTTTGGGAGGCCGAGGCAAGAGGATTGCCTGAGCCTAGGGGTTCGAGGCCAGCCTGAGTAACTTGGTGAGACCTCATCTCTACAATAAATTACAAAAAAACTAGCCAGGTGTGGTGGCGTGCGTCTGTATCCAGCTATTTGGAAGACTGAGGTAGAAGGATCACCCAGCCCAACAGGTGGAGGCTACAGTGGCCATGAGCGTGCCGCTACACTCCAGCCTGGGCAACAAGAGTGAGACTCCAACTCAAAAAAAAAAAAGAAAGAAAGAAAGGACATGAGTGAGTCTTTTGCACTGTTCTCCCTTCATCCTTTTTCTTCTATCTTCATAAAACACAGATGGTCTCATCTTGGAATGGCTGAGTTCAGGCAAGGAAGAACAAGATAGAAAGAGCTTGCACTGCCTGCTCTACACTTTTTTTTTTTTTTTTTTTTTTTTTTTAGCCAGGGTCTCACTCTGTTGCCCAGGCTGGAGTGCAGTGGTACCATCATAGATCATCGCAGCCTCCATTTCCTGGGCTCAGGCAATGCTTCTTCCTCAGCCTCCCATGTAGCTGGGTCTATAGGCACATACCACCATGACCAGCTAATTTTTAAAACGTTGTTTTAGAGATAAGGTCTCACTATGTTGCTAAGACTGGTCTTTAACTCCTGGGTTCAAGCAATCCTTCCCACCTTGGCCTCCCAAAGTGCCGGGATTATAGATGTGAGTCATTGCACCCAGCCCTGCTCTAGACTCTTAAGGGAGAGAAAAAGAAAATGTTCCCCTTTTAAGGCTGCAGTTATCTGGGGCTTCTGTCACCCACAGAAAACCTAATCCTAATTATTCCTCAATCACACTTTCCAAGGATAGCTATTACTAACCATTTATCTTTTTATGACCCCATCTATACACTCACTCTACCAACTGAAGGGAAATGTTTCTTTTACATACCACAGGCTTATTAAGAATGTGGGTATATTTTTGTACTTGAAAATTTTTTTTACATTTTTGTCTATAATTGTACCACACTGTAACTTTAGAATCACCTAACTAGTTTTGTTTTGTTTTGAGTTGGAGTCTCACTCAGTCACCCAGACTGGAGTGCAGCGGCCACTCCCAGCCACAGCAGCCTCACCTGCTGGTCTCTGGCAATCCTTCCGCCTCAGCCTTCCGAGTAGCCGGAATTACAGGCATGCGCTACCATGCCCGGCTGATTTTTTAATTTATTGTAATGATGAGGTCTCGCTGCCCAGGCGGGTCTCGAACCCGCGGGCTCAGGCAATCCACTCACCTCAGTCTCCCAAATGCGCGGGATTACAGGCTGAGCCACTGAGCCTGGCTATTTTGTCTTTTTTGGTATTTTTGTTTTAGCATTTCCATGGATTTCTTTCATATATGTGCTTTTCCAAATAAACATTTTGCAAGTTCCTGGGGTAGGGGGGCTGGAATTTTGTTGAATTTTAAATGGACTCTTTTAAACCAGAGAAAATCTAAATAAATGTTTACATTTTTGTAAGATTGAGTCTCTTATCCAAAATTATGTGTATCTTGACATGTATTTGTCTTCTTTTATATCTCTTAGTAAAGTTTTATGGTTTTATTAATATGAGTGTTTCAGGCATCAAATTGATTCCTAATTAATTTATGACCTCTGCTATTATTAAACAGATTTCAGTTACATTTTTAACTTTTTTTATATACTTTAAAACTTGCACATAATTAAATTAGTTTTATTATTGACCACCTGATCATATCATCTTATTTTCTTTAGTAGTCTCTTAATTTAATTCTCTTAGGTTTTCTAGATGTAAAATCACATTCCATTTAAAGAATGATAACTTTTCTCTTTTGTTTTTTTTTTTTTTTTTGTAAAATCAGTTCTTTGATTCAAGGAGAGGGGTTCCAAATATGACATGTTATGCTTTTTCATAGTTACCTATAGCTCAGTAGCTCTGTCACCAATTTGGGGACCCTCAATAAGATTTTATGCAGAATTTCATTTACCCGTCTTCCACACCACTTTGTATTCCTTTTTTACCTCAGGATCACTTATGTGCTAACCTTAAAATTCACAATTTCCCCTCCATGAAGAGATACAATTACTAAGTCATGGTTGTGACCCTATTACCTTTGAACCAGGCCTCTTCCCATATGACCTGCACAAAATAAAGAGAGAATGGGTATCCCTGCCACATTCTTGGCAAATGTCCTAGACCTCACACCTCAACCCACCTTTAAAATTTCTCTCTTCATGCCCCCACACTGTGTATTCTAGTTCTTCACCTTTTTGCTTCATCTCCCATTGGCAAGCCTTTCTCACCTGTCTTACAGCTTTCATGATACATATGGTTTTGCCAATTTCTCACCCTTATTCCTCTCTCCTACTCCTCTTGTCTGTTGATTCTGGCCAAATCTCCACTTCCGGGTCTACACCAGTCCCCAGGCAGGAGAAATTCAACCTAAGAATCTTTTGGTTCATGGAAGACCATCATGACCACACATGATGCAAAATTTAGTGAGCAAGTAGAATTTAGTGACAAGTCCTAAAAGAATCCCATTAACTAACTGACCTCTGATTGGTGGGATACAGTTCCACTGTGATCACATCAAGGGCATTCCAGGCTGCAATGCTGGTCCCACAGAACAGGCACTGCCAGCCGATCATCGCAGATTCACTGTTGCCAAAAAACAGGAAGAAGCAGCAGACTGCTGAGATTAGCATGGAGCCACCTGTGGAAGGAGTTCAAGGGCACAAAGAAACATGAAGCCCATGTCTTCAACAAGACTGTCACCCATAGTTGTGCCTCATCTCCCATTCTCACTGGTATACCTGATGTAATAGGTTACCTGAAGTATTGGGTTGATTCTCCACACAGAGAGGGCACAGCTTGATCCCTCACATGACACGGTGGTCATGAAATTAGAGCCCTCTGTATGGGTCAGATCACCAGAGTTAATCTCTTAAAGATTTTGAAATCACCAATCGAAGGTGATTCTAAGCCAGGAGTGACTGGAGATGAGGCAGATAAGAGTAATTGTTGACAATCTATTATTATATGCCAGACATTGTTCTAGGTGTTGGAGATACATCAGTACCAGTCCAAAAATATATATATATTGATTTGAAATCAGTATGTCCATGAGAAATTTGCACCATGCTCATATTCAGTGCAGTGTTATTCAGGTTAGCCAGGATGTGGAATCAACTTGAGTGTCCATTAATGGATGGATGTGGATAAAGAAAATGTGGTATATATGCACAATGGAATCCTATTAACCCTTTGAAAAATTATGTTATTTGTAAAAACATGAGTGAATTAAGTTAAGTGAAACAAGCCAGGCACAGAAGACAAATACAACATGATCTCATATGTGGAATCTAAAAAAGTTGAACCCATAGAAGCAGAGAGTAGAATAGTGTTAACAGGGCCCGGGGAAGGAGGTAAATACAGGGGAGAGGAAATGGGGTGATGATGATAGAAGGGTAAAAATTTTTAGTAAGAAAGAAAGAATAAGTTTTTGAGCTCTATGGCACAGTTTGGCAACTCCAGTGAATAATGTATATTTCAATAATCCCACCACCAAAACAGTAAGTATATGAGGTAATGGATATGTTCATTAGCTTGACTAACCACTCCACATTATATACATATATCATAGCATCACATCGTACCCTGTAAATATATGTAATTATAATTCATCAATTACAAATAAATATTTTTAATACCAGTCTCATGGAGCTTACATTCTAGTAGGAACATCTCTGCAGATGGGCTACTGACAAGAAAACTGAAAAAAGACTGTGCTTCTATTCACTTACCCAAATACCCACCCCAGAGATCTAATCTGCCTTTCCCAACCCTGCTTAGCATCCCTAGAAGCTACCCCATGGACTTCCTTGGGGAGAAGGAAGGAGCATTTTTCCCCCCAGTCCTGAGTTGGTTTAGAAGCCCTTTTCTTACCATGACCACATCCATCCAGGACCACAGTTCCTCCCAGGCAGCTCTTCCTTGTGGCTGCAGCCCCCACTGAGCTCTGTTAGTGCAATTTTCTGCCCTTGTCCCTGCAGCCAGAGGCAGTGGTAACTGCTTCCCACTTTTGCTAGTGTCTGGGTGCCTCACATGCCTCATTTGTTCTCATCACCCTGTCCATGCCTCTAAAAGCCATCCCATCAATAATGTCTTTTCACTAGAACCATCTGGGGTGAATCCTTTTTCCCTCCAGGACTCCAAGCATGCAGTCTATGGGGTTAGCCTCACAGGGCTCTGAGCAGGGCTAAGAAAGACAATTCTGATCTCTGGGATAGGGACTGGGAGAGTTGTAAGAATGAGCAGAGAATGATCAGAGATCCCATCCAAAGAAGACTGTGTTGAATCCCACCTGAATCCAGTAAGTCTAGCCCGAGGGAGCATGGGATGCAAGCTCTGAGTCCAAGGTGCATGCAGGGTGTGACAGAACAAGTTGCAGACCAGGAATTAGCAGGAATAGAGGCAACAGAAAGGTAGTAAGAAAGTAAGTTCCAGACAGTCAGCTGGGAAATAGGGCACAAGCTCTCCACCAGGCATCAGGACCCTGCGGGTGAACAAGAAACCAGGCTGGCCTGGCCTCAAAAAGAAATGCCTCCTTGCATTGGCCTTGGCCTGGAATCTCGCCCTCAGACCTAAGGCTGCAAGACTGGCACCAAACTTTGTGATGAGCTCGGCAAGGATAACTATCCACCTGGATTCAGCCCAATCTGGGAAGGGGTAGGGCTGTGAATAGGTGCCTGGTAACCTGTTTTTAAACAGTTAAGACAGAACTAGAAAAGGGGAAAATTGGCATCTACAAGGCTACAAGTGCTCTGAGGATAATACTCTCTACATGTATGCATCTCTCAAAGAAGCCAGTTATGAGGCTTGACTTGCAATAAATGCTGACAGACATTTGTTGAAAACAAAGCACTGTCATCAAATAAGCCAAGTGCTAGTCAGGGAGGCCCTTCCTAATTCATCAACTATGTTAGGTGTTCCTGCCTTAGATCCCTAGGGCCCACTATACTTTCACTTTCATAATTCTTTTCCCCCTTGTAATTGGGAGGCCTGAATTCAAATCCCAGCTTCACCACTTACTGCCTGTGTGCCTTTGAGGAAGTTGCTTAACTTCTCTGTAAGCTGTGTCGTTTTCTCCATCTGTAAAATGTTGATGAAAATAGTACCTACCTCAAAGCATTGTGGTGAGGTCTCAGTGTGGTAATGTTTATAAAATGCTTGGAACACAGCCTGATCTATAATAAGCATTTCATAATGCTATTAATAGTTAAATGATATTTCTAGCTTAAATCTGTCTCTCCCAATAGATCCTTTGCTCCTTTCATACAGGGATACTGCCTGTCTCAATTACTGTTGTATTCACATTGCCTCCCATACAGCCTGGAGAGAATAATTACTGCCTAAATAAATGTTGATTGAATGAATAAATGAGTAGCAGCCACACCAGGAAAACTTCTACTCCACTGCTAACAAGAAACTACTTCTACCCAGGGAAAAGCCCAGCAAAGTAAGTAGACAAAGATGCTCCAGCAGATTCGACAGTGGGATTGACCTGAGGGCCATGAGTTAGGCTATTTCAAAGCAGTTCACTCACATCCCATATCCTATAGTGAAACAGGCATTTACTGAACACCTAGTATTTACTGTGCACTGTGAATATCGCAATTGACCTACTGTATGCCAGGCTTTTTACTAAAGACTGAGAGGTATAGAGATGAAGGAGCCCTGTCTGCGCTCTTTTTTTTTTTTTTTTTGAGTTGGAGTCTCACTCTGTCACCCAGACTGGAGTGCAGTGGCCGCTCCCGGCCACCGCAGCCTCGACCTGCTGGGCTCCGGCAATCCTTCTGCCTCAGCCTTCCGAGTAGCTGGAACTACAGGCACGCGCTACCACACCCAGCTCATTTTTTATTTATTTTAGAGATGAGGTCTTGCCAAGTTGCCCAGGCAGGTCTCGAATCGGCGGGCTCAGGCAATCCACTCACCTCAGCCTCCCAAAGGTGCAGGATTACAGGCTGAGCCACCAAGCCCGGCTGTCTGCGCTCTTAATGAGCTTGCAATCTAGCTCAGAAACAAAACGAACACATGAATAAGAAAGTAGGATATAAAGAATGGTTACATTCTTCATATGTAAAGTTCTAGATATCTAATTTAGGGAACATGCCTAGTTCTAGATCTCTGATTCAGGGAACATGCCTTTATTTAGCATTATAGAAGTCAATTTTGATCTGGAATGTGATCATGATGGCAAGAAGGGCTTCAATAGTAAGGAAAGGATGTCTGCTCTCCCACTGTCCTTCCTGTCCCTGCACCCAGCTTCCCCCTGCTTCCCTGTGGGAGCATGTGGCACATTCTTGGTGGCGGGCCGTTCTCATTCACATGCATGTCCACTCCATTGCCATAACCCTGCCTTCCCCAGAACTTCTCAGCTACTTCAGAACCTGACCATAGAATCCTCTGGGACTCAGAAGGCTGGTGACCAAATGGCAGAAGTGTCACACAGCTGCTTTCACACCCCTTATTTCACTGGAAAAAAACAGAGGCATTATTTTAACTATGAAAATGGAAGCTCAGAGAAGTAAAAGAATTTGCGCAAACTCATAAGAAAGTTAATCTTGGCAGAGATGGCTGCCTGACTCCCAATCACAGGTGTTTTCAAACGATACCATCCTGTAGTGTTTTCTACTGAAAGCTTGGTGCTTCCGGCTAATCAAAGAAGGAGGTCATCTTCACCAATTCTGGCCAGTTCAGCAGCACTGCTAGGTGTCAACTCTATGGCTGGCATTCTACCAGGCACAGAAACCAGTAAGCCACTGTCCCTTTCCCTGAGGGACCTTGGAACTAAACAGGGCACTGCTTCTAACAGAGGAGACAGCTCAGTCTGCCATAGCTAAGAAAAGACTCTCCTCTTCACTCTACCACAAGATTAAGAAGTTGAAGGCACAGGCATTCCTTGTGCTCACCACTCTGAATATGCATGCTACCATTTATAATAATGATATTCAATATGAGCCAAATGCCAGGAAAAGATTTCCTTCCATGAAGACCTGATCAGTTTTCTCTTCTACAACAAAATGACTGTGATTTATTTTGTTTCCCTTTGTGCATTGTTGTTGGGAAGGTTGGTATTAATTTTCCTACTCAACTACATCCCTAGGGCAGATCCTTAATGACACGTGTATTAATGTGTTGTCTGCTTCATCACCCCTGGCCTTGACTTATAGTCTGATGTACATTTTCCCTGCCCTTCCATATATTTTGTTTTGCATGTGTGGCATGCGTTTCTGTAATAAACTGCTGCAAATCCTGGTGGAATGAGGCAAGACATACATGAATATAAGGGGGACCCCCCAAAAAACCAGAATCATTTTTTGGAAGGCAGACCTCTTGGAGTACAGGTTTCCCCACTAGGTACGTGTTCTAAGAACCCCTTGGCGTCAGTGTACCAGCCAGCATTATTGTGAGAGGCTGCATTTGGCTTCAGTGAATTTTTTGGAGATTCTTTCAACACACTTGCCCATTTCGTGATGGGTGATTTACAAGTGTACCTACCCACAACGTGCTGTGTTCAGCAGTTTTTGACCCAAAACAGCATAATCCCCGTGTCCCAACTTCACTATTTACCCAATCACATTCCAAGTGACTTTTTGTTCGTTTGCTTCCCTGGATGAAAGAAGTCATCGAAGGGAAACATTTTGCCAATATGGAAAAGGTGAAGCAAAAAATGGCAGGAGCACTAAAAGGCATCAAAACTGATGAATTCAAAAAGTGTTTTGAGCAGTGGAAAAGCATCTCAACAGGTGTATTGCATCAAATGAAAAGTACTCAGTAGGTGACTGAAGTTTAAACACGTAAGAAAAATACACAATGTTTAATAAATAAATTCTGCTTTTGGGGGGTTCCCCCCTCGTATAGCTACTATTTTTGAGAACCTACAGTGTGTCAAGCATTACACGATGCTTAGGGCACCTTATGTTCAATCCTCACAAAACCCTACCAGCTAGCTACAGGTATCCTCATCTTACAAATAAGGAAACCGAGGGCCAGAGAAGCAAAGGAACATGTTCAACGTCAAACAGCCTTTAAGTGATAGGATTATGAGTCTGTCCAATTCCAAAGCCCAAAGCATTATTACTATTAAATAAAAATAATATGATTTATCTTCAATCATCAAACTGTCATCTAACAGCGTTTTATATATTTTTCAGACAATAATCTTATAGAGAAGTAGGGTGGATATAGTCAATATCTCTATTGAAGTGCTAATAAAATAAGAGAATGTCCCAGAATTTCTCTGTCAGGAAATCAAGAAAAGTTCCTTGCCTGGACCAAGGGTCTCAGATGGCTTCCATAAAGCCCTAGGATTCTACTGGCATGCATCCTTGGCTCCAGAACAGTAGGTTCAATCTTAACTGCTTGGTTTACTGTACAAGAATTCTTTAATGAAAGTAAAAGTTCCACTGCCTTAATAAACTTGAAAGCCACTACCCTAGCCCACCGGAACCCAGATGTAACACCACTAACAACTCACCAATCATTTTGAGCCTTCCAATTCTATCCATGAGCAGGGCAGAAATGATGTTCCCAGGCAAGACAGACAGGCTGCCCAGGAAGCTGACAAGATAAATCAGGAAGTCATTATCTTGTTCCAAGTCCATGTGGCAGCCCTCCTTCTGCTCCAGAAAGGTGGTGTTGATAAACCGACAGTTGATAAACTTATGCTCATAGAGGTCTGAGGAGAGAAGGAAGACATTGGTTCATGTAAATGAAGTGAAGCTGGGGAGAAAAGGGTAGAGACAGGGATACAGTCATAACAGCTTCTGTGGGCAGGCCTGCCAGCCTTTGCTAATCAGTCTCAAAGTCAAGGTGATGTGTGGCTGGGAGTGGATAAATAGAAAAACTTCAAAAAGTGTAGTGCCCGTTCAAGTTCCTATAAGCAAGCGGAAAGGATACTGATATTAATTGAGGGATCATTTAAACTATATCTCTCCAGCTGGGTAAAAGTCCTGTTTGTACCAATCAGGTGACATTGAGGGTCACAGCAGCTGGGCCACTCCTCTGAGGCTACCCAGCGTAAGGAAGGAGAGTTGGGTCCAGATTGAGCCAACCACTCCAGAGCCCATGTAGTAGTCTGTGCAGAAATCTGAACATTCTTAAAAAATAAAAACCATTTGCTTTGGAACCAGTTTGCAAGTCTTCTGACAGCTTCTAAGACCAGCTGTTTTAGCAGAAAGTGTGCTAGTTAGGCTCCCAAAAACCCACACCTGGGAAGCTAGCCCTGTTGCTGACCCTCCTTAGTCTCCCTGAGGTTCAACCTATAAAATTAGAGGAGTACACCTGATTATCTCCATTGCTTCTCCCAGCTCTGACATTACTCAATTATATGTGTTTGGAAAAACCCCCATGCTGAGTATGCAAATGAAAAGGCATCATTAAAACTTGAAAGAATAAAATGATATGCCGGTTTTCAATGACAAACAATAAAATTCTAGAACTCATCATTACTGCTTCAAGTTCAAGGAAATACAAGAAGGTAAGTCCCATAATAAGTTATTAAGAGACTGAGGGCTATTTAGATACCAGATATCAAAACTTTTGAGGCTGATATTATACAGCAAAAACATGTTCTTGTATAAACCATCCCCTGATGTCAATGCCAAGGATAACACATAGATCTAGATATAATGCAAGTAGTTCACCAGAAAGATCACAGACTTTAAAGTCAAACAATTAAGGAATAATCTAAACTCCCCCAACTTGCTAACTGTGCCTTTGACCAAGTTGCTTCCTTAGTTATAAGATGGGGATACTAATAGTACATTTCTCAATTGAAACAAGGTAGGCAAAGCCCCTGGAAAAGCTCAGTGAGAATCCTTATGTCCCAACTCCATTTGGTATATTATTAATTTATGATGAGAATAGTAAAAGTAACAAGGAGTGGTAAAGTGGTAGAATTTTGTGGGTTTTTTTAAATCATGGAAATCTGAAGCAGTGTGATTTTAAAATATTCTTAAATGGCATCTCACTTTTTGCACAAAATGTAAACAAGTTTTCCCTTTTCATTTATTATTCTTAGAACATGAGTCTCGAATTTTGCAAGCTGCAAATTATGCAAGGTCCTGCATTTCCTGTGCAGAAAACGCAGAATGAAATGCTGGTTTTTGTTTCTGCCATACTTCGTTGCTACCTAAGACCCTTAGTGTATAGCATCAGTCTCACTGAGATGAGAACACTTGCCTGGAACTTTTGCTTCCATTTTACGAGTTATAAAACTGAGACACAGATAAATTCAATGCCTTGGTATAGGCTGTGTACTTCATGTGTGCCACATCTGAAACTGAACTCATTTCCCCACTGAGGCCTGGCACTTATTTTTATAAATACTTTCCTACTCCTGAAGCTTATGACTGAGGACTTTGATTCTTAGACCACATTTATTCACTCTTGTTAGTCTACCTAATCTGTCAATGTTCTTACCTGTGTTATAAAACATGGTTGATTCAATGGTGCAATTTTTGAAATAGGTATCAGTAGATGTAACATCTTCAAAATAGCACTCGTCAAAGAATGTGTCCTCAAAGAGCACATGTTTAAAGTACATCCTTGTGAACCTGTGGAAAAGATATTAGCCCTTGAGTGATTCATCCAAGAAAAAAAGACATTTGAAACCAAAATAGAAAGCAGAGGAAGTTAGAAAAAGGAGACCTGCAAGCCAAAAGGTGCTGGAACATTCTTTTCAACCCAGATTAATTCCCTAACACCTAACTGCTTGTTTATTAGTGGAGAAGGGTATTAGGACTATGGAAGCCAGTATCTAATCCAGGTACATATGGGATACTATGCACCAACCTGGTGGTTCCCAAATGCAGGTCCATGGGCCTCCTGCATTAGGATCATGGAAATGTGAAATAGTATGAAAAGAAAAATTGACAACATGTCATTTTCTAAGGTGCCTTAAAACCTGTAGGTCCCTATGCTGGTCCTAGAAGCAATCAATATGTGAGGACCTGAGAATTCCATTTTAAAAACTGCTCTACCAAAGATACGGAGAATAGGAATTTTCATTCACACTACTGGTAGAATATAATCAGTGCAGCTTCTTTGGGGAGCAATTTTGCAAAATTTAAAATGCACATTCCCTTTGACCTAGGAATACCAACTCTAGGAATCTATCCTACATATACTTGCTCATGTATTCAAAGAGATACATTCACTGAGCTTCATTGCAACATTGCTTACAACAATGGATTACTATACACACATACATACATACATACATAATAGATAACATACAATGGAATGCGATGTAGCCATCATAGCAAATGAGGTAGATTTATAGGTGTTAATAGGGAACGATCTTTAAGTTATATTATAAAGTGGAAAAAAATCAAGATGCAATAAGAGTTTATAGCACATGCTCACACATGTAAGAAAAGAAATGGTACAAATGCTTCCAATATATCTGGAGAATTACACTGGAAACTGGTAGAAGCAGTTGACTCTGGGGAGGTACAGTGGAGGTTAGGAATGAGATATACTTAACTTTCACTTTCTACCAAGTAGAATGCATTGCTTTTTCACTTAGGAAAAACTCATTTAATAAGGGGTAAGGCATTCAATTTATTTTCAGATGCAGCCACATTTGGGGGTCACTGCACTACTCCAACTCATGCATAAATTTAGTGGGACAGAACATTACATTTAAAAACTATACCACATACATTAACACCATTCTCTGTATATTCACTAAGCTTGGTTAAACTTTTAGGCTGGAATGCTTTGGATATGCCTTGATTTGTGAAGAATTACAACCCATTCATTCATTCGGTTGTTTACTTATTTGCATATTCAGTCTTCTGCAAAAATACACACTGAGCATGAGTAGGTGCTGTGAGTACAGAAAGGAAAGATATAGTCCCTGCTCTTCAGTCTAAATGGAAAAAAGAACAAGCAAACAGATAACTACAACACAATGGGAATCACAGTGATAGAGGTAGCACAGGAAAGGCATGGTGATATCTTCTTGTAGTCCCAGCTACAGGACTCCGGAGGCTAAGGCAGAAGGATCACTTGAGCACAGAAGTTCAAGGTCAGCCTGGACAACACAGTGGGATCTCTGACTCTTAAAAAAAAGTGTGTGTGTGTGTGTGTGTGTGTGTGTGTGTATGTGTATATATATACACACACATATATATACATATATATATAGAGAGAGAGAGAACACGCAGGCACAGGGTGCTGAGGGTCATTGACCACAAACAATGGCCAGTGCCTCTTATCCTTCATGTTAATGTTGTGTTCTGCTCAGAACCTTAACCTAGAACGGTCTACTGTTAGTGTCTGCAAAAAGACCCCCACCCAACACGAAGTCCTGAGCAAGTGCTTGTCAAAGAGAGGTCTCCAGATCACTTGCATCAGGATAAAATAGGAGGTTATTATTAAAGATGCAGTTTCCTAAATTTCAACCTAGACCTCTAGAACCATAGTCACCAGTGGCAGAGATCAGAGTATTATACTTACAGAAGTTTGAGAATCTTTGGTCTAGAACAGCGCCCCCCCCTCCCCCGCAACTTTTAGGCATCCCCCCCGCAACTTTTGGGCATCAGTTCCGTGGAAGACAATTTTTCCACAGATTGGAGGGTGGCGGGAAGGATGGGGGCAGGGGGCAAGGAGGAAGGAAGGGGTAGGCGCAGATCATCAGGCATTATTTTCTCATAAAAAGCACACAACCTAGATCCCTCACATGCACAGTTCACAATAGGGTTCGGGCTTCTATAAGAATCCAGCGACAGGAGGCGGAGCTCCCGCCTGATGCTCACTTCCTGCTGTGCTGCCTGGTTCCTAAAAGGCCACACAGACTGGTACCAGTCGGCAGCCTGGGGGTTGGGGACCCCTGGTCTAGAAAACTAAATTGTTTTGAGTAATTTTTCTTCGGACCAAATTTGCTACAGACTTTTAAACATGGGGCCTCCAAAAGTTATCACCAAACTGTTTAGGTTTCCATAGAAAAACAAATGGATAAGCCTTTTGTTATAGGAAGATGCCTCTGGTTTCAAAATTTGTATGCTACATGTGTTTACTCAGGAGCGCTATTCCTGGAGACTGTCTCAGGCCTTTGCCTTTCTTAATATAGCCTTCTCTTTAATACAGTAATAGGCTGGTGATGTGGCCTTCAGTGATATTTTAATATTCTTCCCAGAGTGGGTGAGAAAGTAGCACCATAAATCATAAATGGGTCTGACGCAGGCAGGCCTTAAAATGTATCTCCAAGTGAGTTATAAAAAGCCAAAGTTATAAGGAAGAGATAAAAGGAGAAAGGGCCAACACATATTTTATGAGTCTTTATATAAATCATCTCCTCCAGTCTCTAACTTAAATACTGAACTGGGAAAAGAGTCTTCATTCAAGAGAGTTCAAAGGCTGAAAGGAAAGTCAGCAAACTATCTTATAGAACTTTTATTTTTATTTTTATTTTTATTTTATTTATTTATTTTTTTATTTTTTTGCGTCTCACTCCATCGCCCAGGCTGGAGAGCAACAGCAGGCTCATGGCTACTGCAGCCTCAACCTGCTGGGCTCAGGCAATCCTTCTGCCTCAGCCTTCCAAGTAGCTGGGACTATAGGCTCATGCCACTACAAAGGCTAATTATTTAATTTATTGTAGAGACAAGGTCTCGCGCCCAGGCTGGTCTCAAACTCCTGAGCTCAGGCAGTCTGCTTGCCTCCACCTCCCAAAGTGCGGGGATTACAGGCATGAGCCACCACACCTGGAGGGAACTTTTCCTGTAAGGAAACAGAAGCCATTGGTGGTCCAGAGTCTATGACAGAACTATCATTTAAAAACACTTTATTAAACCTGGCGCAGTAGCTCATGCCTACAATCCCAGCACTTTGGGAGGCCGAGATGAGAGGACTGCCTGAGCCCATGGGTTCAAGAGCAGCCTGGCAACTTGGTGAGACCTCATCTCTACAATAAATCAAAAAATTAGTCGGGCATGGTGGCGTGTGCCTATAGTTCCAGCTACTTGGAAGGCTGAGGCAGAAGGATCTCCTGAGTCCAGCAGGTCGAGGCTGTGGTGGCCATAAGCATGCTACTGCACTTCAGCTGGGCAACAGAGTGAGACTCTGACTCAAAAAAAAAAAAAACACTTTATATTTCAGTTACCCTCAGGTGCTGAGTCCATCAAGTGATCTGTGTGATCACTTGTGACCAAAGTCACATTCAGTAAGTTTTAGGCTTGGTGGCATCACCCTTAAGAAACTCAGTTTTATTAAAGGGATAAACAAGAAAATCGACCATAAAATCACTTCAAAGGGGACACTTGTGATTCACTTGGTTAAAGCATGAGAGGACTTATCCTAAAGGACAAGGAGAATCTCCCCAAGCAAAGATGAGGAAGTGTATTCTAACAGAGGGAACAGCATGTGCAGAGTTAGAGGCATGCTATATATGCCATTTAATTGCCCTCTTTCAAGTAGAAAATTCTCTTTCACATAAATTATGTTGCCTTTCAAGGAGAACATAAATAAAGGGTATGGTTTCCCATAAATATGCTACTCTAAGAAGCCCTGTAAGCACAGTGAAATGAAATTGGTTCTTCAGAAAAGAACAGAAACCCCGGTCTCTCACATGTTTTCTTATGCCAGGCCCCAATCTGAGGCAAAGCAAAGCACAAATAAAACGATCATCCACTTTAGAAAATATATACTTGGGCATAATTTGCTTAAAGAATGCAGGAAGCAAATTCTTGCCTGAATACTCTATATAACTTCTTGCACCCTCCATACATAGGCATCAGGCCTTTATCCAACTTCTGATACCACTCTCCAAAAAATGAAAAGTCTAGTGTTCAGAACTTAACCACCAAGAGATCTCAGGCAAGTTATCTTCTCCTCTCTAGGCCTGCATTTAAAAATATATAGGCTGGGTTCAGTAGCTCAGCCTGTAATCCCAGCACTTTGAGAGGTTGAGGCAAGTGGATTGCCTGAGTCCACGAGGTCTAGATCAGCCTGGGCAACTTGGCGAGACCTACAATAAATTTTTTAAAAATTAGCCAAGCATGGTAGTTCCAGCTACTTGGAAGGCTGATTTGGAAGGATCACTGGAGCCCAGCAGGTTGACGCTGGGTGGCTGTGAGTATGCCACTGTACTCCATCTTGGTCAGCAGAGTGAAACTGTGACTCAGAAAAAAAATCTATAAAATAGGAGTGTTGAAAGATGGCTTTTTTCCAGCTAACATATGGTTCTGTAAATGAATACTACTGTATGTATCCCTGAGAAAGAAATAAAAGAATGAAATTAGGAGATGGCCATCTTCCCCAACTATTGAAATATTATTTCTCAGAAAGTCAGGAGTATTCATGATGAAAAATCCTGGTGACAGTGTCAATCAAATAGTCTGTCCAAGGATATACATTTTTGTGCCTCAGTGAATCTAGCAGTAAATCCAACTTCTCTCTTTCTTCTCTTACATTCAGGGATACCTGAGTGCTAAAATCACGATACCTCATGCTGTCTCCTTTATAAAGATCCTAGTACAATTATTACTATTGAAGCATAGAACATAGGACAAGAAGATAAATAAAAGATAATAACAATTATTAGATTAGC